AAATGATAACAGTAATCATTCTCATTTCTATTCCCTTCTCCCAAATCTCTCTAACTCCAATTTTCCTTCTCTGCCAAGGTCTGAATAGATACTTATCTAGACCTTGGGACTTGGCATTGAGAGCGCGTTTCCGATACTAACTAATAATACATGTCTCATGAATATACGAGTATAGCATACGTATATGTGATAATAATCACGAATTTTCTACATTCTTCCTTTGTTCTTCTCTTTCCCTTTTTATTCCCATTGCCCCCTTCCTTTTCCAGCATCTAACGTCAACGGCGGGTGCCCCTTCACGGACCACCTGGTGATCGCGGGCAGCAAGGTGGTCGCAGGCGGCGGCGAAACCCCCGCCAGCATCTTCTGTGGATCCAAGTTCCCGGATGAGGTCGTCAGTAAGTCTCCTTATAAAGATTTTTCGGCTTTTAGTGTCGTTGGTTGACTGTTGTTGTCTCGGGTTGTTGGGTTGTGCTGAATTGTTATTGATTTAGCTTTTATGGTTCTTTGGAACTGACTTTGCTAAATGTTGTTATTAGATTCCACATTTATGAACATGACTAAAATTGATATTATCCCTTTAAACTACAATTCCGTATGGTTTGCCAGTGAAAAGAAACAATCCAGTCTATCTGCTTAACAACAATGGTCAAGTGAAGATCAGCGAACTGGTTTTAATTTCAAACAAATCAATCTTACAGGATCTGTTCATCAACGCTGTCCAGATATCTATCAACAAAGTTAATCAGTCTTAAAACCACAGAGCCAGTCTCCTCAGGCTCTCTCGTTGCAAGTGCAGCCTTTCCGCTACTGATCATAAAATCACATTTCATTCTCAAAAGATATCTCTAGCAAAGACTCTTCCTGAAAGGCACTACGTTTCCCCTCCTACTCTCTCACCACCAAGACGGCAATTTCTCAAAAACAATCATATTTGTTATAAATATTTTCTGACGACGAACAATCTTCTGCTTCTCCTCTCCTACCATAAGATGATAATTAATTCTATTGCATATATACACTGACTTCTTCCTGGATTCCTTTCTTGCTCTCCCGCCACTTCAAGACGGAAAATTCGCACAAGGCATCTTTATTATATATGCATACTTACCACTTCCGAAATTCCCCACTTCCTCTCCCACCCCTTCAAATGCGACCGTATTTTTCATATAATTTTTCGTGTAGATATATAACCACTACTTACGAAATTTCTTTCCTTCTCTCCCACCACTTTAAAGACGGAAAATTTTCATAAATCACAAACTTACCTCTCCCGAAATTCCTTTCTTGCTCTCCGATCCCTTCCAGGCGACAGGTTTTGAAGTTGCTTTTACTAAAAATATGCACAATCCTCTCCCGTAATTTTCTTGTCTTAGAAATGATTTTTACTACAAATCCACAAATACATATTCCGCGCTTCCTTTCTTATTTATTTAATTTATTATTATTATTTATTTCGTATATACACATAGATTCCGAACTTTCTTCTTCTCCTTTCTTCCAGGTGAGAGTTTCAGGGTGGACGTGGTGACTAATGGACAGGAAGCCGACGACAGCGATTTGGACAACCGGGGTTTCCATCTCGAGTACGAGCAAGTTAAATGCTGAAAACTCTAGTGAAAATATTCTACTGTATGCTCTTTTTTTTCGTATGGTATAAGAATTTTTTATTGTTTTATTGTTGTTGTTGTTTGATGTTATAAAATCTTTTGTTGTGTCTGTTTTATGTTTTTTGTTCTCGGTTTATTTTCGTAATGATGATGCTAAGGAAACTATGATAGAGAGTTTTTCTTATCCCTGTGACGATGAAAAAACGATATCATTAAGCATAAAAATAAATGGGAGGAAATATAATTTAACTAACGTAAAATTAATCAATCCACAGACTAAAACTCGAAAACAAAACAGAAGGGTAATTTGATGATTTAGGGAAAAAGATAAATCAACAACCAAGAACATAAAGGGATGAAAGTCCATCGCAGAAAACATGAATGATAACCGACAGAAAATGCTGTGTAAAGTCAATGCTGAAGAACACACGACAACACTTTTACATTATATATCAGGGAGCCTTGTGATAAAGCTGTTTTGGCCACTTTGCGTGAGATGCATTTAAATGTGTGGTTATTTTTACATCAACTGATACATTTGGATATTTATTTAAATTGCACTAACTTTATCAAAGCTTGTCCACAACTATGCTACACTAAAACAAACATGTAGACAACGCAGTTTGACTATGTTCATTTGACTCCTTAGAAAACAAAAGAATAAACATAACAAGACGCTGATTTTATTTTGCCGCCATACTGCTAAAATGTATATATATATGTATATAGATACATGTATATTTGTATATATACACACACACACACACACACACATATCTATCTATCTATCTATCTATCTATCTATCTATCTATCTATCTATCTATCTATCTATCTATCTATCTATCTATCTATCTATATATATATATATATATATATATATATATATATATATACAACAAACGTATACATACATATCATATATGTACACACACACACACACACACACATATAAATGTATATCTATTTATCTATCTATCTATCTATCTATCTATCTATATCTATATCTATATCTATCTATCTATCTATCTATCTATCTATCTATCTATATCTATATCTATATCTATCTATCTATCTATCTATCTATCTATCTATCTATCTATCTATATATATATATATATAAGTATACATACGCACATACATGATATACATACAAGATTAATCTTTGGTAAACAACGAGTGGAGAAGTGTATGAAACTGACAAAACATGTCAACCATATTACGATAGAGATTTAAACATATTACACGTAAAAAAGAAAGAAAAGAATTCCATATATCACATATACTTTCACAGTTCATCCCCATAATATATGATTGAAAGCAGAAAATACAGGCTTTCACATGCAGTTAAGTTAAAGTGATGTTAATGGTTCAATTATTGGCAAAATGGCATTTCTAAGTAATCCCCTTAAATCATTTAGTGAAAATCTCTTAGGAATGAATAATTTTTTTCGATGATCAACATTCTATTTCCCGCGCATCAAATAACCAATCTTCAAATGTGTACATAAATGAATCGTTCTAATCATGGGCGGAAGCGGCAGAAGCGACTGATTAATAGTGAAAGCAAATAATCCTTACGTACATCATCCATGACTGAAGCGAAGGCCGCTGGATGAATAAGTAACGAGCCGAGTGACTGAGTAGGGGGTATCGACCGCGAGGCAAGCCCAAGTACCTGAAGCATGATTGCCTCGAAGGGGGTGGAGGTGGCTGGGGTAGGATGGAGGGGGAGGGACGGGTGGGGTGAGGGAGGAGGGTAAGGTGAGGGGAGGAAAGGGTAGGATAAAGGGAGGGGGGGGGGAGGGAGGGGGTAGGGGGAGGGTAAGGTAGGATAAAAGGGAGGGGAGGGAAGGGGGGGAGGGAGGTAAGGTAGGGTAAAGGGAATGGAGGTATAGGGTACGGGAGGTTGAAGGGAGGGGAGGGTGAGGGGTAAATAAAGGGAAGGGGGGCAGGTATACGATAGAGAGGAAGGAATGGGAAGAGGGGAGGGGAAGGGGCAGGGTATACGATAGAGAGGAGGGAGAGTAAGGGGGAAGGGAGGGAGGAAGGGGGGCAGGGTATACGGTAGAGAGGAGGAGAGTAATGGCGGAAGGTAGTGGAGGGAAGGGGTAAGCTGGGTATGGGTGGGTAAGACGGTAAGATGGAGGGGAGGGGCGGGGGTGGTGCGGGTAATGAAAGCAGTCCATTGTATACATAAGGAATCATTTCAAGAAGCGAATTCCTTTTTTTGAATACATAAGGCAGTTCTTTTCCTTCTTCATTCTTTCATCTTTGTTCATCTTACTTCTCCACGGTGGTTAGAAATGTTCGCATTCATTTTCAGTTGCTCGATTTTGCGTACCGCCACCCCCCCCCTTTCCTATCACCGCTCGTGCTAAAATCATGCGAAATAAGACGAACCGGCAACTCACGCAATCCCGCTACCTGACGCCCCCTCCACCCCTCCCCCTGCCCCTCCGCCCTTCCTCGCCAGTCGGTTGTGACGAGCTAGGGATCGCAAGGCTCCGGTGAGTGCGGCCCAATTATTTCTTTGTTCCGTTTATTGTTTCTGTGTCGTTTTTTGACTTCTGCATTCGGTGTATGGCACTAGGAATTTTAATAGGAGGGTCGGTGTCATGATTCCAGGTGCGCGCAGTGTATAATAACAGCGTTCCCAACTTTTGTTATTCATTGTGTATTAGAGAATCCTTGCTTTGCACGCGCTCTTATTAACGTTGTTGGTCTAATATTAATTGTTCCTTGGTTTGGATAAAGAACAAGGAATCGGGTTGCTTCGTTTTGCTTCTAACAGAAAACATTTCCATCTGTTTCCCACAACTTAACGAAGTAAAATGATAATTTCTACTTAAAATTCTCATCGTGTGATTGCCATTGTTATTTTTTTTATCCATTTGGCAGGTAGGTTATTGCGCTTGCATGGAGACGTCTGTGTGCGTGGCTATAATGCGCTTGTTAATTACCTGCCTCTTGTTTACATTTGGTTGGTGTCATTGCCAGTGCTTAAGATAAACAAGTTAGAAGATAAAGTTATAGTTTTATATATATATATATATGTTATATATATATATACTATTTATTTATTAATTTATCTATTTATAGGAATATGCATTATATATATATAAACATACATGCATACAACATGCATACAAATATATGTATATATTATATATGTATATATAATAAATAAATATATATATATACATATATATATATATATATATATATATATATAATATATATATATATATATATATATATATATATATATATATAATATATATATATATATATATATATATATATATATATATATATATATATATATATATATATATATATATATATATATATATATATGTATATATATGTATGATGCATACACACACACACACACAGACATATATCTATATCTATATCTACATATATATATATATATATATATATATATATATATTATATAAACAGAGGAATTAAGGTATTTTTCCTCAATAGCAATTAGGCTTGTACGTGGAACACAGGTCATGCAACTCTCCGGAATTTTTCCGCCCGAATTCATTATCTCCGTTCAAATTTCTATCGTGGAAAAAAACTAACATGCTCAAATTCAACTATCACAATAGTAACTGCAGTATGACCTCACTTTTTAAACGAAGGCTATATATATATATATATATATATATATATAATATATATATATATTATATACATATATATATGTATATATACATAATATATGATATATGTATACATATATATATACATATATATATATATATGTATATATAGTGTGAATATGAATATGTATATAGTACATATGTATATAATGATATAGTATGTTTTACATATGATATATATTATATATATTCAGGATATGTATATATATATGTTATATATATTGTGTGAATATGTATATAAGTGTATATATGATATATATATGTATATATATATATATATAAATATAAATATGAATATATATATATAATATATATATATATTGTAATATATATAATATAGTATATAAGTAATAATACGCTGGTATATATAGTATATATATATATATATATATATATATAAATGTATATATATAATACTATTATATTATAACTATATTGTGTGTATATTATGTGTGATGATCATATATATATATATTATATATTTATGGTATCATATCTATATATCTATATATATATTCTATATATCTAGATCTACTATATTATTCTAATATATATATATATATATATTAGTAGGTATATCTATATCTAATATATATTATTTGTGTGTGTGTGTGTGTATGTGTGGTGTTGAGTGTGATGTGTGTGTGTGTGTGTGTGTGTGTGTGTGTGTGGATGTGTGTGGATGTTTTGGATGGTGTGTGTTGTGTGTGTGTGTTGTGTGTGTGTGTATGTCTGTGTGTATGATTGTTATGGTGTTGTATGTCGCGTAATGTGTGCATGTGTGTGTAATAACATATAATATATATATATATATATATATATATATATATATAATATATGTGTATAGTATAAAATAATATGTTATATATATTAGTATATGTATATAATTATGTATATTATATTATATAATATAATAACATGTATAATATGATATATATAATATATATATATTATAATATAACATGATATATAATACTATCGATATATACATATATACATATAATACAATATATACAATATAATATATATATATATAATGTAATATATATGTATACTATATGTATATTATGTATACTAATAATAATAATATAATTAATATAATATATAATAATAATATTATAATATATATATTATAGTATATGTTGGTGGTGTGTGTGTGGTGTGTGTGTGTGTGTGTGTGTGTGTGTGTGGTGTGGTGTGTTGTGTATTTGTTATATATATATATGTATAATATAAGTACATATATATATATATATATATATATATAGTATATATATAATTAGATATATATATATAATATGTATATATATCTATGGTATATATATATGTAATATATATATACATATATATATATATATATATATATATATATATATACTATATATAATTAAAAATGTATATAATACTTAATATTAAGTAGAATATACTACATATGTAGTAAATGTATATACAATACAACTATACATATATATAGTAGTATATATGTAGTATATATATTATATATATATAATATAATAATATATATATATATACATATAATTGTGTGTGTGTGTGTGTGTTGTGTGTGTGTGTGTGTGTGTGTGTGGTGTGTGTGTGTGCTGTGTATTTTTTTGTGTTTTTTTTAGTATAATATATATATAATAAATACATATACATATGTTATATATAACATATATACATACTATATATTTATATATATATATACTATGTA